TTCATTAAACTTCTATGCTCATTATAAATAAAATAACAGATTACTGTACAAGGCAGTAGTGTAGATGCTGTGGAGAATTCAGAGTCCTTGCCTTCAAATAACCTGTGACTAGAAGATATTTTATATATAATCATAAATAATGACAGATGGTAGAATGTAAAAGAAGTATTTAAAAGAGAGGCATTCAGAAAAGTAAAGGAGAGATCTTCTTGGAATAGAAGGTTGCAAAGGAAAATAATAGGTTCTATGGGAAAAAAATGCTGGTTTTGAAAAGATGGTTAGAAGAAACAAAGTTTAGGATTTTAGGAGGAAAAAAGTGGGTAAGAAAGTATGGGCATATTTGGGTTGCAATGAGTTCTTCAGTCTGGCCAAAGCACAGATTATTCTTTTAAGAGAAAAGGCTTAAAAGGTATGTTGGACCTAGATTAGAAAAGCAGGAGCATATAATTTGACACTCCATGGGGAGCCACTAAAGGTATTTTACTAGGACAGTGAGATGCTCAACACTATGCATAAGGAAAATTAATTGGACTGCGATCTATAGGTAAGACAAAAAGACTAATCATGATTTTACTGCAATAGTGTGAGTGCTAATAAGAGTTTAAAATATAATGATTTCAATGAAAATAGGAAAGAAAGGAAATAAATATTTCAGAAGAGAGAACTGATATAACTTAATGACTAGCAGAATATAGTCACAGACACAATAGAAGTTAAAATTATTACTAATGTCCTAAGTCTTGGCAACTGGAATAATGGAGATATCACTTGGTATATCAGAAAGAGAACAACAAGTCTGATTTCAGATATCCTGAGTTTTTAATTTTAACAGATGTCTTAAATATAAAAAGATATCAATAACACAATCGGAAATAAGATCCTACCAGATGACTTCACTGGTAAATTTTACCAAACATTTAAAGATGAATTAATGCCAATCCTTCTCAAACTCTTCCAAAAATATCAAAGAGGGGGGAATACTCCCAAACTCATTTTACGAGGCCAGCATTACCTTGATACCAAAGCTAGAAAAGGATACTACCAGAAAACAAAATTACAGACCAATGTTTCTCATGAATACAGATGTAAAAATTCTCAATAAAATACTAGCAAATCAAAATCAGCAGCACATTAAAAGGATCACTCACAATGATTAAGTGGGATTTATACCTGGAATGCAAGGACTGTTCAACATACACAAATCAATCAATGTGATTGATACATCACATAAAGAGAATCAAAGAAAAAAATCATATGATCATGTCAACACACATAAAAGCATTTGACAAAGTTTAACATCTGTTCATGGTCAAAGAAAAAAAAAAGAAACAACAAACAAAAAAAAACCTCTTAAATTAGGTATAGCAGGATCACACTTCAACATAATAAAGGCCATATAAGAAAAGCCCACAACTAACATCATACTAAGTGGTGAAAGGCTGAAAGCTTTTCCTTTAAAACCAGGAACAAGACAAGGGTGTCCACTCTCTCCACTCTTATTCAACATAATACTTGAAGTTCTTGCCAGAGCAATCAGGCAAGGAAAAGAAATAAGAGGCATCAAAATTGGAAAGGAAGAAGTAGAACTGTCTCTATTTGCAGATGACAAAATTTTTCCTAAAGATTCCACCAAAAAAACTGATAGATGTAATCAACAAATTCAGTAAATTTGCAGGATACAAAATTAACATACAAAAATCAACAGCATTTCTACCAGTTTGTGCTTTCTGATCCCC